TGGCTGGCGCCTTAGCCGGTTGAGCTACAGGCGCCGAGCCTGAAATATCTTTCAATAGATGAATGGATAAACAAACTGTGGTGTGTCTGTGAAATGGAATATGATATGAAGTGATTAAAAAACAGGCAGCGCCCATAGCTCAGTAGGCAGGATGCCAGCCACATACACCCAGGTTGGTGGGTTCGAACCCAGTCCGGGCCAACTAAACAATGACAACTGCAACAAAAAAATAGCCGGGGCCTTGTGGCAGACGCCTATAGTCCCAGCTACTTGGGAGACTGAGGCAAGAGAATCTCTTAAGCCCAAGAGTTTGAGGTTGCTGTGAGCTGTGATGCCAGGCCACTCTACCAAGGGCAACACAGTGTGACTCTGTCTCAAAAAAAAAAAAAAAAAGTCAAAAATCAGTGGTTTCCAACAGTTTGAGGAGGGAGATGGAACATTGACTCAGTGAGACAGAAAGGATGTTTAGGGTAGTGAAACTATTCTGTATGATACTCTAATGGATACATGACATTATGTATTTCTCACAACTCATAGAACCGTAAAGAATAGACCCTAATGCAAACTATGGGTTTTAATTACTACTGATAATAGTTCACTGGTTGTCATAAATATGCCATATTAACACAAGGGTTAATATCAGAGGACATGGGGTGCGAGGAGAGAGGCTATGAGAATTCTTCACACATTCTAACCAATTTTTCTATAAACATACTCTAAAAAATAAAGTGTAGGCTCAGCACCTGTGGCTCAAGTGGCTAAAGCGCCAGCCACATACACCTAAGGTGGTGGGTTCGAGTCTAGCCCAGGCCAGCCAAACAACAAAGATGGCTGCATCCAAAAAATAGTCGGGTGTTGTGGTGGCCACCTGTGGTCCCAGCTACTTGGGAGATGGAGGCAGGAGACTCGCTTGAGCCCAGGAGTTGGAGGTTGCTGTGAACTGTGATGCCATGGCACTCTACCCAGGGCGACAGCTTGAGGCTTTGTCTCAAAAAAAAATGAAGTGGGCTCGGCGCCTGTGGCTCACCAGCCACATACACCTAAGGTGGCGGGTTCGAATCCCCAGCCCGGGCCCACCAAACAACAATGATGGCTGCAACTAAAAAATGGCGGGGCGTTGTGGTGGGCGCCTGTGGTCCCAGCTACTTGGGAGGCTGAGGCAGGAGACTCGCTTGAGCCCAGGAGTTGGAGGTGCTATGAGCTGTGATGCCATGGCACTCTACCCAGGGGGATAGCTTGAGGCTCCGTCTTAAAAAAATAAATAAATAAAGTGTATATCTTTAAACGTTATAAAATTAATATATGCAAAGGGCATAATAGGTACTGTAAAAGTTCTAAAGAATGTGAAAATATAAATTGAGAAAATATTGGTGACTCACGCCTATAATCCTAGCACTCTGGGAAGCCAAGGCAAGTGGATTGCCTGAGCTCAGGAGTTCGAAATTAGCCTGAGCAAGAGCCAGACCCTGTCCCTACTGAAAATAGAAAAACTGAGGCAGGAGTATCGTTTGAGCCTAAGAGATGGAGGTTGCTGTGATGTACTGTTCTGTACCAAGGGCGACAAAGTAAGACTCTGTCTCAAAAATGAAGGAAGGAAGAAAGGAAGGAGGGAGGATGGAAGGAAAGAAGGTGAAAGGAAGGAAGGAAAGAAAGAAGGACGGACCACTATACCACCTCTAGAGGTGTCCACTTTTAATAATTTGATACATGTTCATCTAGATTTTTTTCTACATAGAAAAATGTCAGTTTTTCCCTGTAAGAACAATATTAGGAATTTTTTTGCCCTTTACCTTTTTAAGACCTAACCATTTTCCATATCAGAACATATAGATCTACTTTATTATCTACTTTATTCTACCTGCATATTATTCCATTGTACGGTTCTATCATAATTCATTCTTTATAATTGGACATTTAGATTGTCCCCAGTTTATTACAAACTAGGTTGTGGTGAACATTCTGGTGTCTCTATCTATGGGGCTTTGTTATTATAAATTTCTAAACTGCCCTCTTATTAAAAAAATTTCAGACTATTGGCTCAGTGCCTGTGGCTCAAGCAGCTAAGGCGCCAGCTACATACGCCAGAGCTGGTGGGTTCGAATCCAGCCCGGGCCTGCCAAAGAACAATGACAACTGCAACCAAAAAATGGCATTGTGGCGGGCACCTGTAGTCCCAGCTACTTGGAGGCTGAGGCAAGAGAATCGCGTAAGCCCAGGAGCTGGAGGTTGCTGTGAGCTATGATGCCACGGCACTCTACCCAGGGTTACAGCTTGAGGCTCTGTCT